CCCATCCACCTTCTATCCAGACACCGACTGCAAACCGAAGCCGCGTGCACACGCGCGCAATGTGTATGAATCTAGAAACAACACGCAAATAAATACACGAACAACATAGCTACACACAGAGAGACACGTCCTTACATACATACAGACGGATACAAATATAAGACACGGGTGTATCTATCGATTAATAAACGCCACAGAGAACGCTCGCGGTTGTCTACGAACGACGAATGTGGTCCAATACGTGCCCTTACTTACAATAATAAATTCGGCGAAACGCTCGATCATTTACCTGTACCCTGAAATATCTATTTGTTTGTAAGACAATTACAGGCTCTCTTTTTAAGGTGTTTAATTTCTTATTTAAAATGTGACTGTATTAAAAAAAAAAATAATTACATTCATTGTGTTCGATAATATATATGAATAAATAAATATATATATTTTCAAAATAGATACACACTCCGATATATATTTTTTCGACAACATAAAAATAAATCCAGCATATGTTGTGAATGATCGATCGATTTCACTGATATGTAAAGTTGAGAATGTAAGGGCGTGTTTTTTATCACTTTCGAAATGTCGTACGTCGCTGTACATTATATAAGTATCAAAAGCAGTTATGTGTTTTCCCTCAGGAATTCTCATTGCAAATTGAGCGATGCCGAACGATCCTAGTACCTCGAGTTACTGTTCGATCTTATAATTCGTGTGATTGTCGTATTCTCTCCTTTGTTTTTAACTGAGATTGCTCATGTCGCAGCGTTGATTACGCGATTTCGTCTTTGGCATCTTCGCGAAACAATGATCACAAAACTCTATACAAATTAAATCTTCGCGAGAGATGCAATATGCTTATAAGATTCCATTAAATTTCTCAGGATATTTATAGCGCGCATTTAACGCCAATAAAATAATAAATTGATTTTAATTCCTCGCTTGCATGGAATGTATGTAAAACTCAGAATCGGCCATCGCTAAATATATCATTTGAATGCGAATTCGTAATGTGATAGATCGTTATCCCGATTTTAGCATTGACCCTGTCAAAGAATTACTGGTTATACGACGCTAATTTACACATTCACAACATACTTTTAAACGTCTGCGAAAGAACGCAGATATCAATCACACGTAGCCGACATATGCTGGGTGTAACACAATGCGCGTGCACGGTATTCACCTGAGCGTAGATTCAGATCTATGAAGCAGAACTCAAAATCTACAGGTATGTAAATCTATACGTTCTAAAATCCAAAGAGAGATTCATACACATCCGGATACAAATCTATAAACCCGCGTATCTACAGATTGAGAAATACTTGAAATTTACGGATCTATAAGATAAAAATATTGTTAATATCATTCCTCATAAATCCGGATATTCAGATATTTATAATTTCGTATTAATCCACGGATACATGTATAAATCGGCAAATTCACATTCTTAGAAAGCGGAATCAGCGAGGTCTGTAATAGCATAAGATTCCACGAATCACACTATGAACACGCTAAAAGCTTACAATCCTAAAATTTTCGCATTTCTCGTATAAACTGCTCCATCCATCTCGATTCATAGGATCATCAAGAATATTAATGTTATTTTCGTTGATAGAATAAATTATAATTCTCTCTCTACCGTTCATAAGAAGGATTCCTTATTTTTATTTAGACTTTAATAAATATTACTTATTATATTATCCTTTCGAAGATCAAGATAAAGATAAAGAATTCTTCTCACATATATCTCGTTCATGTAGTTTTAAAAGATATCAAGGATATCCAGTTTCGCGACCAAAAGTTGTAAACAATTGGTACAAAAAAAGTACCACAGTTCGTCGTG